GCTCTTGTGGCACCCTGCTCTTGTGGCACCCTGCTCTTGTGGCACCCTGCTCTTGTGGCACCCTGCTCTTGTGGCACCCTGCTCTTGTGGCACCCTGCTCTTGTGGCACCCTGCTCTTGTGGCACCCAGCTCTTGTGGCACCCTGCTCTTGTGGCACCCAGCTCTTGTGGCACCCTGCTCTTGTGGCACCCAGCTCTTGTGGCACCCAGCTCTTGTGGCACCCTGCTCTTGTGGCACCCTGCTCTTGTGGCACCCTGCTCTTGTGGCACCCTGCTTTTTTTGGAACCCTGCTTTGGTGGCACAAACTGCTCTGTTTGCGGCGCCCTGTTCTGTTGGCACCCTTTCCTGTGGGTATCCTGCTCTGGTAGCACCCTGTAATTGCGTTTAACTCAGTTAAACCAACTCGAATGAATCCTGTCAGGCTGTCCATTTGGTCCCTTCCCCCCAACCCAGTGAAAGTCTTAAGGTAGAAAGCTATTTTCAAAATAAAAGTAGTTTTGAAGAAAGAAAAAAGACTTCTGTTGGGGATATTATTACTTTGGTACGTGTGACCATGATTATTGTGCATGTTCTTATATATTGCGTTTTCTAATTGTGACATCAATGCAACATTCTTTATACAACAAACGGATGCTCCCTCTTTCGCAACTCCCGGCCATATCACACACACACGTCCCTCACCGTCCTCCAAAAGGTGATGCCCCCGTACTGTTTTTGCACACCTTACTTTTATTATACCCCCCACGGAGTCACTTCGAATACTAGAACATAAAGTTGTAGCTCTTGCAATACAATGGCATAATCATAACACTTCATTGGGCAGTTCATGTAATAACTATATCCTTGGACACTTTGTGCAGGCAATAAAAAGTATAACTTTTACTCTCTCTTTTCTCACTCCCCTCTCTCTTCCCTATTTCTCCTCTCTCTAATAACATGCAAATCTTAGCCACCTTCATACTCTCTCGTACTCTCGTCCGAAATCTCTTATTCCTCGAGCCTATCAAAACATAGTCTAAATACCGAGACGTTACAAGTTCCTATATGCGTCCTTCATTATCCCCAAATCATATCTACATAACTGGCGTACTGAACATACTAATTGGAATTGAGCCAGTCTCGTTGCGACGACTCGCATTTCTTGTAGAGCATGTGCGCCTCTGTTTATTTTGACCATTAATGTTAACAAATAATTGCTTTTACTCTCCGTCCAAACAGATCATGGAGCTGATCCTCTTAGTGGTCATCTTGCTCGGCTTTGGTCAGAGACAAAGAGTCTCCATCTCATCGGCACAGGCAAGTGGCTCCGTTAGGACATCGCAAAATGTTCCCATGGCCCGCGACTCGCAGGGTTCTTATTACGAAGACATTCGCGCGAGTACTGATAAGCAGTTCCGAGATAACCTCGGACCGCACAGCGGTGAGACAGAGACTAGCACTGGAAATCAGGACTTTGATAATCAGTTTAGTCAGCAACAAAATCAGTCGGGCCAACAACAGATCCCTGCTGGCCAGTCGCAGTATCGAACTTCGGCACAGCTTCGAGACAGCCGACTCCAGTCCCAAGCCCCATATAACGGCGACCTTTCCAACACACAGGTACTAAACTTTGCAGGTGATCGGCAAAAATAACCATGTGCCCCTCCGCGCCGTCAAAGTGACAGGCGACTTGTGCACATATTGGCTGCATGTTTAGCAGAGCATTTCTAGGGCGTAGTCAAAGCTTCCAACACAGCAAATTGTTCAATGGCGTAAAAAGGAGCCGGTGGTTTTTTTAACATATGCTTTCGATAGAATGGCATCTGCTTTAATCATTCCATGTCCATTGTTGTCATGGATCTCTCGTAAACCTTAACCTCATTTTGAGCAGCGGTCATCAACATGTTTGGTCGTGATCCCTTTGGGGGGTCGAAGGACGCTTATACAAGGATCACCTTATACGATCATCGGAAAATGCATGTTTATGAAGTAGCAACGAAAATAATTGTTAAGTTGTGGGGTCACCACAACACGAGAAACTGTATTAAAAGGTCACGGCGTAAAGAAGGTTGAGAACCACCGATTTAGAGCGTTTCTCCACCCAAAACAACGTCTACAAAGCGTAGTCATGCCATCACAAGCCGTGTCATCAGTCAGAGTCTAGAGAACGCGTGCTGGGAACAAAAAACCATTAGCGATGTGTTAACATCTACACACACACTGCCTTTGAACACAATTCTTCTCTTTTCCTTTCTTTTCCTTAAAGAATAATTGAGTTTTTTTAAATATTATTTTCTTTTGTACATTTTTATTTTGGAAGTACTGTTGTCAGGTTGGGGGAAAACACCTGTAGGGAACAGCAGACGTTTCGGAATAATGCCTTCAAGGGACAAAAAACACAACAGAGAATAAAGATTTATAGAGACCAAACAAATGACTTAATAAGACAATTTAGCTATCAGTGAGTTTGTTAATAAAACAACATAGCTGTCAGTGAGTCCGTCAACAAGACATCTTAGCTATCAGTGAGTCTGTTAATAAAATAACTCAGCTG